AGAAAGCGAAACAAATTGAAATATTTTATTCATAGAGCAGTTTCAATGCTTCTGAAGTTAATGTCATTAAAAAACCAACGCTCCCGTAACAAACTACCTTTTTTGTAAGAAAACGGAAACTCTTAATTCACCTAAAACTCGTAGGTTTTGTTTTGTTTTTCTAGGTTTTCTTATCCCCGAAGACTATTCTTCTAGTACGAAACGAAGATAGGTAAAAGTAAACGAAGTTTTTCAAGGCAAACACCTTAAGATAAATTAACGAGAAAGTACCAATATAAAGTAGAACGTCATCACGTGGGATTTCGGGGGCTTCCTTTGTTCAACAGAATCATATATCAAGCCCATTAGCAGGACCAAGGCCGAAATCAAAACTGAAGTAGTTTTTGCGCCTTAGGACTGTCATTTGTTGCACGATCGTTGTATTTAGGCTGCTGCGTAACTATATCTTAAGTTCCTTATGGAATCTGCATCAAGAATAATTATATGTAATCAATATACATATCTAATAAATACCTGCTTATATTAAAAGTATAGTATTTTAATTTAAGTATGGAAACATGTATGAGCGCCGAAACTTATTTGGTGAATTTTCACCTATATATTGAATATATTTTCTTAACGTTAAGTGTACATTTTCTATGGCATTGATCTGGAGCATGGTGAATTTGGTCAAAATTTAATTTAATTTTCGCAACGGTAGGTTACTTCGAATCTCTTAATTGCCCACCAATCAAGCAACGGATATCAACATGACAAAATAATAGGTTATTGTCAACATAGTTGCTTCCCTGTTTATAATGAAATATGATCTAAAAATTTTTAAAATTTCCAAATTAAGGTTGCATCTTTTTTGTACTTTCATTAAACAAGGAAAGTGCGTATTTGAGCGGGAATGTGCTGCGCTCATTCACAAACTTGTACTTTGCATGACTTGTCATTCTTAAGGAAAAGAGACTTACAAAGATCCAGGTAAGGATTCTAGTGGTTAACAAAAAGCAACCCAGAGGGTACCCTGGATGTGCTTCATTTTTAACGACCTAACAAGGCTCCACAGTTGCCACAGTCACATTTCTTCAAACCGCTGACACATTCCAACCAACATTTCATCGCATGGTGAGTGGGCGACACGTTATGATGCGCCACAGCGATCGACATGACATTCAACACTGATGAGGTTCACTCGAGGAGCGGCTGATGCTCAAACTGCCAAAACTACAGATAGGTAACATCCGGCTCTCCACTTCTCTAAGTTGAGGGACAAGAGAGACTTCAGAGCTGTAAGCAACGTTTAGTGGGTCTTTGGTCCCGTGTGTCGTCCAGTGTGTGAACAATGCAATAGCCTGACTACGCCTGTCTAAAGACAATGACAGGCACCGCGTGAATGTACTCGAGCGTGGAGATAAAGACCTAAGTGGGTTATTTGGCTAATCGTCGGTAGAAAGTGGTTTGCAGACGTGTCGAGATTTCTTTGCCGTTAGAAATAACGGGAATAAAGCAGCTCCTACATTTTTTTCGTTCCTATCTAGACCCACCCTGACACAATTTGCACAGTATTTTTTTTAAGGAGTACATGTTGTGTTAGGTGCCACCAAGGGGCATCCCCCAGATTGTTCAGCCTCGTTGCCGTGCGCTTCGTGACTAAAGTCACGTAGAGCAGGAGGCTGGAGATGAGAGGCTCGTATACGGCGCAAGCGTTTTTCAGGCACTAATTAATTCTGTAGAGATCCCTTTCTTGAACAAGATTAAGGGGAAGAGGGGGGGGGGGGGGGTGTTCACCGATCGGAACGTCAAAAGGAGCTGTTCAGTTTTTTCGCCTCGCTCATGTGGCTTCTTGTACGATTTAAACATTTGTGGTCATTTACCTGCAAAAAATGCCCGTGAGTTCACTATCCCACAGAGCGCTCAGAGAGACAAACGCAGCCTTCTGGAAAGGAAGGCAGCAATTATTATGCATTCGATCATGCATGAAAAAATATTTGAGGCTACAATCCTACAAAGGCGGCGTGCTCATATTGTGCGCATGGTCAATAATACACACAAATATCCGAGGTACCTGCAACCAGAACTGCACTCTGTGGCATGTTGTAAGAAGAGGAAAGTGAAGAGGGAACAAAGGACATAAACAACTGGGGCTATACTCGCGGTCAGCTTTCTGTGGCAGTGCAATCAATGCTAGGCGAGAGGGTGCACCAACTCAAAACGGGAAAGGGCAAGGCCTGTACATGCGCTTTCCTCCTCTCTTCGGATCGCCACAGAAAGCTGACTCCAACCATAGTGAGGAGCGGGCAGCTCAGATCGCTTCCTGCCACTGGCAAAGTAGGTTGCTGTTTCTTTGCTTCAACAACTGGCGCCCAAGCCATATTGGGAGTCTAAACAAATACTGTTTCACAGTGCTCTCGGAAGGCAAATAGTAAGTCCGATCTGAATCCGTTTAACAAGCATGGCTAGCGTTATCACACCCCAACAAACATGCAAATCCAGCCGAAAAGAAAAAAAAAAAAAAAGAACACGAGGCTTTGAGGCTGGATCGGAATTGGCACTGGATATCGATCGCCTTTCTCGATGGCAGAACTTATTAAGGTCAAACAAGCGACTGGCCGCGTTCTGAGCTAAGCGCAGTAGCTCCCTTCCTTGGAATAGCAGACACCGCTCCTACGTTCACGTACTGCCCGGTGACCCGGCGTTTTCCGACTAGGGGATAAGCACTGGAGTGGTGTGTACACCATTCCAATACTTACAAGTCCTCAGCCCAGCGTGCGATCTCATCAGTCAAGAACGCGCATATTCGTCGCTTCGCAAAGCGAGCAATTCCCGCGTCATACGCACGAACACCGAAAATAAAACCGGCCAGGAGTTCTTTTTTTTTTTTTCTGGAAAGGTCTGTACGCCTGCGAATATATGGGAGTGTACGTTTGGTTGGAGTTTTTGTAGTTGGTGACAGGAAACTAGTAGATGCTTCGCTTCGAGAGCTTCAGCGTACGCGCACCCGAGGCCAGGCGCAGGGCAGCGAGCGCGTATACGCCTTTCCGAAAAATACCAGGAGATCTCGCGGCGACGGGAATTATGGGGCTGTTTCGATGTACGCTTCTGCCGAGCCAAACGCTTCGAACGCACAGAAAATAAAACGAACACAAAAGAGGTCATCGCATACCCTTTTCTGCTTTCCTTCTGCCTCCTCTGTGTTTTGAGGTGACAAAATTTTAATTAAGCTAACGTCAGCGTCGTTTTCAAATCCTGGATGATGCGACCAGCTGACGGTGAGGGAATCGCACTTTTCAGGAAAGGTATATCGGAGATGTCACTTTTACTGCGTTCTTAACCTGTTAGCGACTGTAGGTGCTCCCTCCCTCCACGCAGCAGGTGACAGGTGGCTGCTGAACTCCCTTGATACCTTCTTTTACAAGCAACAAGAACCAACGCGCATCAGGGAGGAATTTTTTTATTTGACCTAATGGCGTCTTTTCGTTCATCAACCTAAAACTTGCCCCGTCACCCAGTTGGCGCAGCAAAGAATGCAATGGCGTCGGAAAACGGGAAAGGGCAAGGGGAGCGACCGCTTTCCCATTTTTAGATATTTTAAAAATTTACCGCAAACAGTACGGGAAGGGGGCAGGAAATCGCTTATGCCCCCCCCCCCCCCCCCCCCCCCCTCTTCCTTCCAAATAGTTCCGACGCCTCTGAAAGGATGAGTCCATTTGTAAAAAAAACACGAAGTGAGCATTTTCTTCCGGAACTTCAGTGACTGCACGTAAAACTCCATGTCGCTCTACAGAAAAACCTCTACAAAAAAACAGGCATGTGTGTGCGGTGTGACGTAGAGAGTCGTTCACATATGGATAACTGGGTGCTCTCCTTACACCATAAAGCATAAAGTTGAGGATATGCCATACGCACGCTGCTATGTCTGAGAAGCGCGCCTGTATTCTAGAACAGCCAAAAGATATCTTTCTCAGTTACAGATTTAGCTCAATATTATACATTTTCTTCTGCCTGTCTCTTTTCTTCTTTTTTTTTTTTTTGTGACACTAGAAGTGTGCTTTATGGCTCAGAAGGGCATGGAGAACCAGAGTATGTTGAAAAGAAGAGGGCAGGCAAATCGGACTAATGCAAGGATAATTATTTGCTATTCTTTTTTAATCATCTGAAGGATTGTGAACAATCATTTTCACAGTCCTATTCAGCAAGTCAGCATATTTTTGCACTTTGGTAGGCTGGTTAAGTAACAAAACTTAATTAGCTGTTTTTTAATTATCGTTTGTTTTCCAATTATCAGACCCGGAATCGAAATCGGAGAATCCTGAGAGCAGCGGCTGGTATCGGAAATTTTCTATTTCGTATATTAGGCGATATCGACGGCGGATGTCCTTACCACTACAACTACATCACTGCAATTAAGGGAGGGGAGTGGAGAGAAAGAGTTCATACCTGCAATCGCCGGTATGAACCCCTGGCAATTAGCCTGTGCGAATGAAGACCTCTGGCAATTGAGTTAAGTTTGGAATTTATATATGGAAAATTAAAAGCGCTATAAACACGAAGGACTAGTAGTAGAAGAAGGTACACCACAGGGCGCTCGTAAATACAGCAGCGCAGACATTTAAGCACGACGTGATCGTTTTCCCCACGGTTGGAGGGGGAATCTTTAAAAACATCGAGTATAATTTTCTGGGGTTCTTTCAGACCGCTGCTCCTATTGTTCCGACACGTGTAAGACAAATGCCTCATCTCTCCCAAGCTTGTCTGACACGCCTCTTTTGCTGACCCTGAGAAACGTGTCGTCTATTCGGGTGATCGTCCCCTGCTGCTCTCCCCCTCCCACAACCGCATCCCGAAATCAGGTGGTCTCGCTTGAACGTACTTAAAGAGGCCCCACCGGCTTGCAGGCGTTAAAGACACGAGTCGTCGTAGAAGCGACGCAACCCCCCTCAAAGCAAACCGGCGCACGTACACCGGGTTTGTCGTCAGTGTCCGAGAAGTGGGATCGGTAGCGCGGCACCGGAATGGATCCGCAGGTGACTTCGAACCTTAATTGGCCACTGGTAAAGCTGCTGGCCCCGTGGATTTTGGGTTCGATAGTGTGCGTCTACGTGACCGCCCCCGTCCTTGACTGGTTCAGGATGTGGAAGACACTGAGGCCCATGCCCGGCCCTTGGAACCTTCCGCCCTTCGGGTTTTTGTTTGTACTCATAAAAGATAGCTTCAAAAAGGAGGTAGAGCATAAGGAAGCCACCGCAAGTAAGTGATTTATAATGTTGTTTTTTTTTGTGGGTCCGCTTTGCAGGGACAGCGGCTAGTACCCTAACGTGGCAAAATTCGGCGGTGTCCGTATTCGCGACTCCAACTAACTATAGGTGGCGCTACTCATTTTCCAAGATGGCGGTTATAGTGAGGGTCGGAGATACGTGCCGCTGTTGAGCCTGTCTAGTGTACTGGCTTCACTGAGTGACAGAAATTATTTCTGGTAATACGAGGAAGCTAGGGTGTTAGGAGCGCAGGTCACCTCTTTACCCTGAAAACAAGAACGGTGTTTAGCGTAAAATTAACGCAAGAATGCGCGTTTTAATTCTGGAGCGAAATCGAAACTAAGCTCTATTTTGGATTTAATTTCTCGGTATAGGGCTTAATTTTGGGATTCTTTCATAACTCAAGATGTGTCTCACATCGTAATTATTTAGTTAGAGAAGTTGTTCGCGAAAACTTTATTTTGTGACATACATTTTGATCCAGGCTATTTGTAGTTGTTGAAGCAATCATTGCTTATATGTGTGCGTCCTCGCTGCCTTTTCTCGCTCAGATAATTGTCATGGGAAATAATGAACTGTAGGCCCTTTTAATGGCTTTTGGGTATTTATATGATTAATTGGTATAACATTCTTTCCAGCAGATTAATAATATAGTTCAAATTTTTACAATATATCTACAAAACGTATGAATTAATAAACGAACAATCCATAGACGGAGTCCGAGTCAGACAGCTGAAGTTTTTTTATAGCAACGCGGTCACGCATAGGACTTTATATTCCATCCAGTGTTTGACTGTTTGTCTATCTTGATAACGATGTCAGAGTTTTTCATATGCTAAATAGAAAACGAACTGAAACCTTTCTGTAAATACTATTTCGGTTAAACTGTGTTTTGTTGTGATCGAAGCGTTAATTGGGGGCATGCATTGCCGCGATTTGTATTAATAATATTAATAATATTAAAATTCAGATATTTTAATACGTAATTTTTTAAGCTATAATATAATTTGTTGCTTATGATCTAATTTGAAACGCGCGAACAAATATGACAATCAAAAGTGTGCTAAGTATCATCACTGGTGTCAATTGAAGCAACTTTAATTACCAAGTATTAAAATAAAAACAGTTAAAAATAAATGAAAACATTCTAGCTAATGTGAGAAATTCATGTAAAATTACATTTTTGTGGGTAATGTATATTTTGCTATCAACGTCGCGACTTTTAACGATCGGCAAAACGCCTTAAGTCGCCGCCAATGTCGTTCCTAACCAAATGCCCAGAAATAAAAAAAATAAAAAACTTTTTGTAATTACCAATTTTTTCATAACATTTAGTTACTTTCATTTTTACACTCCGTCGTTTTGCCAATCTCAGCCTTTCAAGTTCAAAGGAACGCCTATCTGCTTGTACGTCTGCTCACTGCAGCACGTTGCGTTGGCGTTGGAAGCCGGTGAAACAGTAGTGAGTTTTAGTATTGCGTACACGAGCGAACGCAAGCGCTGTGTGTTTGCGTTAGCTTTGCGTGCTCCGCGCTGCGCGTGCGTGGAGCCCAAAATTGCGGTCTTGGATGGCGCATGGCGATGAGGCGCACGCACAACGTGTCGCTCGCAACTCTAACGCAAACGCACACCGCTTGCGTTTGCTTCAATGTGCAATACTGAAACTTTCCAGTAAGGTACAATCCCATACCGGCTGTAGCACTACGTTGGGACAGTGAAGAGTGTTGTTTGCATTGGGAAATGACATTTCGCGAGCCAGGATCGCGAGCAGTTCCGCCGTGCCCGCTGAGCAGGAGAATCGGGGGACCCTCTCTAGAGCGCTTCCTGTTTCCGCCGCGGGAGGGCGAGCGTCGAGCTGGAGACGCGAATGCACAATAACTCACGTCATCACAGGGTGACTACCGCCGCCGCTTCGGGGTTCCGGATGGCTCTCCGGCGTGTCTAGAGAATCTCAACTATTATACTAAATCAGAGCTTCTAAAACAAATATGTTAAAGCACATGTCTAAAAGCAGGTCTCCTAATGAAAATCTTTCAACAACGCGACAGCCGCCGTTGTCAATTAGAGCACACCTTGTGGGGTCATTTGCAATTTTTGTTTGTTGTGCTTACTTAACCTAACATGTTGTCACACATCAATTCCAATGACAACCAGGGGCAATAATAATATTTCTCCTAGTTTTTTATTGCATCATTTTTATTGGAACTAATTAACCGATTACCTCTAATTGGTTTTTTTTTACATTAAGGTAACAAAAGACAAGTATATTCTTAGAAAAGGTTTCAGAATTTTCTGATCCTTGATTTTGATTCAAGTGTTCAATATAAAAACTGAAAACACTAAAAATCAACACTTTTTTTATAAAATAAAATTCCTATTTTTTTCATTCTCATAAAAAAAAGATATTTGTATTAATTGTGCGAAACGTACTTGACTAACATTTTCCGTACTGAACCCATCGGACGCCGTCGGCTGATTCATTATTTACGGTCTTTGCGTTCAATCGAGCACATGCAGGGAACCTGCCGATCCAAAATTGATTTCTATCAAATTTAAACCAATATCATATGCGACGACAAAATTTCATTAAGTTTTGACATTAAAACTGCTATAGAATCTTACATTTCACTAATTATCGCACCGCAACATGTCTATTTTTAAACAACTTTATGTTTTAAAGGTTGCTTTTTGTCTCCGTCGTGTTATTTTAAGATGTTGCGCTACTGACGCGTAAACGTTGCGGAGTCTAGAGTCGGTCAATGATATTCAAGAAAATGTTTTAAGTTTTAAGCTAATTATGTCATATCCGCCACATTATAGAGTTCGGTCGTGACGCAAAATATTCGGGTGCTGGGCAAAAACGAGTGCCGCTGGGTCTCAAAGCCGGATTTCAAGGAGCAAGCTCGCCCTGTTTCTTGTATGGTCGAAATTGAGCATAAATTATGCTTCTCCCAACAGAAAATTGAAAGCGACCATAACCACCGACAGCTCATTAAGAGGCGCCAGGCCTGCCTTGTTACGTTCATGCTGCTTGCTTCTTGATTGGTCCTTAGGTGTTTTCATCGCATAACACCGCAATTTGATTGGCTGCGTAGTGATAATTAAATGCTCGCCACGACCTGGAAGGATAGTGGGCTAACCTCAATGCTAGCTGCCTCGAGGTCTACCCACTATCCTCCCAACTGGAGCCAATCACAGTTCGGCGTTCGGACGCCACCGCAACCTCGGCGCAAAAAGCAGACGAACTTGCGCTCCGTATAGGTTGAGTTTAAAAAATCTAAAATTTGTTATATCCAATATAAAGAAAGGTGATCGCGAAGAACTACATATTTCTTCTTGAAACTTGAATTATTGTCCGTTATTTTCTTACGTATCAGTGTGATGAGAACACCTTAAAAATCGATTTGTACCAATCAAGGTGCGTGTGTAGATTCTCATATTCTGTGTTGAGTTTTCTTGTTTTTGTTTCATTTGCTAGAAATATTCAGCCTGATATGTGATACTTGCAAAAAGTACACGGACAAAACCTTCAAGGTGTACATCGGCCTCACTCCCGTGGTGGTGATTCATACTCCAGATGCGGCCGAGGTATGGACGTGAATTCACTCTTATATCGTGAAAACTTCTCTTAAATATCAAAGTGCCAGCGCAGCCACGCTGGTTCACGATGCAACTGGAAACAGCGTACAACTAACAAAGACGTGGAAGGTGCAGACGGAACAAGCGCTGGGGTGTAACTGATTATTTGGTGCAAAGAGAAATGAGCCGAAATTGCTGCAGCCGCCACGCTGATTCTCGAACTAAATGCGTAAGCGTTTCGCATAGCGGTTATGTATAACAAAACATGGTGAATGCAACCTCTCAGCACTTTTCCGCGGGGGTGAACATCCTCCAAACTTCCATTTCTCCCCGGTGCAAGCAGATCAGGTCACACAGCGTGAGCATGAGGGGCGGCGGCCGCACAGGATTAGCTGGTGTTAGAGATCGACGGCGTGACGTCACAACTATAGCCACGGAGGGGCAGTGGTGGACTACGGGGCTATAGCGTTCTTGGGCCGCCGTCGGAACGCTGCGAGTTGGCGTGTACGGGTGGCCCAAGGTGGGTTAATAATATTTTGTAATGAGCCAACCTCAGACTGTCGCCGCGAAGTGGCGTGAACGGAGGGGCCGGGGTGCGTTAACACGCGCTCCAGTGATACACACGCCGTCCCCCACTGTGCGACGCCGAAATCAGCGAGGGGGACGTCACTGGCGATTGTCGGTCGCTAGGTGTTACGTCACGACATCGCTTTCTATAACCAGCCAATCCAGTGCTGCCTCTGTTGCTATGCGTCCTATCGCCAAGCCTCTCAAAATATGCACCCCGCCGCCATTTGATGGTGCTTGCAGGTGTTTCTTAGCCAGTTTCCACAGCCAGTGGGGCTGTGGCGCCTTCCCGTGGCGACGTTACGAACTTTATGTATGTGCGCTCCAAACCAGTCCAAGGTCAGCAGATGTATCAGGGCTCTAATGCAAACGCATTAAAAAAAACTTTGCAAAACTAAGTTACTTTTCCACTGGGTTACGGAGCAGTGCCAATATTCATTTCAGCATGACCATAACTGAGTCGCTGAAACCGGTAGACAGAGAGCCCGTAATATTGTTCACCAGAGTTTTTTCGCCCCTATGCACTATGTCTAAGGGCTATTCGAACCTGAAAATTCCCTCGGAGAGCGTTTGCATTACAACCTAGATTATCCCCTTGGCTTTGCTATCCTTCAAATAATTCAATACCAGCATTTCCGATCTGTAAAAGTCTATGATTAGCAGGTGAACGAAAAGCGTGGTAGAGATGCTGGCGACTTTAATTTTATTTCACACACAAAGTACATTGAAAATTCGCACGGACACTGATTCCAAAGCTAATTCCTAGAAAAAAAACGATCAAAGTGAAGCAAGAATATTAGGATTTAAAGCGGTCCGGATCTTGTTGAAACCCTCGTGAGCACATTTTTGTGCAACATGCTCCCATATGCCTGCAGTCTTCGGGAATTTATAAGCAGGGTGTTCAATTTTTAATTAAAATAGATTTTTAGGAAAATTAAGTGAGAGCTAGACGAGAGCATCTTTACCACGAATTATCAGGCTCAGCGGACATTAAATAAGGGGATAATTTTCAGGGTAGGTTGAATATTTAACTGAAATCTGTTCATTCGCTTTCTAGTTATTGGCTTTTTGAGGGTTATAATGTCGCAATTGCAGTATTCACGGCAAGTTCAATTGGAGGCCAGACCAATTTAAATTATTTGCAAAAGGTAAGGGTTTCTTATATATTAGTTTCGCGTTTTGCGTTTTTTTCGTTCGATTTAAAAGAAAATAGAGTGCCGCAAGCGCTGCCTGCTATGGCGCGTAAAGGAGTGACTTCGTTGCTTAAGTCTGGTTGTCACTTCTGTCGTTGGCGCACCAACCAAGGTAACGCTGCTGAGATAGTGACGACGTGATTGAAACAAGTACGTAACTCTTCGGTGTCATTGTAAGGCATTCGTTTTGAGTACAATATATTTTAATCGGGTCGCGAAGAATCGCGAAAATTGGTCAGTTCCTAACTTTAAAACTATTGCTTTTCGCAGTTTTATTGGTCTGGCCTCTAATAGTAATTGTCGTCAATTGTACAATTCCAAGATGAGGCCTGAAACCAATAATTTAAAAGTTAATAAGAGATGTTTAAATATTTAGGCATTTCGTCAGGACGACAATGCTCCCATCTAATTGCAGAAGGGTTTGGATTTGGGCTAGTTGGTTCAACATGTTTAGGGGTTGAAAGCGCTAAAAACGACGGACGAGTAGGAGAGACACACACCACAGAGCGCTCTGTGGTGTGTGTCTCTCTTACTCGTTCGTCGTTTTTAGCGCTTTTAACCCCTAAACATCCCATCTAATGTTCTCCGAGCTGGTGAAGATGGCGCGCTAACATTTAACCTAATTTTTATCTGTTCGAATTGCAATTAAACGCCCTGTAGATACGTTACGAGTTACAACACGAAGGGAGGTGTGCCATGCATTACTACCTGACAGATTGCTTGTGGTTGGGAAAGATCACTGGGCCGAAATATTTTGCGTATTTTTTTTTGTCAATGAAATAAAACGAAAGAAAAACGGTTCTTCACAATATTAGATACTTTTTATGGGGGAGGGCTTTACATCTCTAGTCGTATCTTAATCGGTTTCAAAACTTACCCACTTCATGCGATCCGCAGAATGTGTTCCTAGGATATATAAATCATAAAAAAACCTAACTTCAGTACTGGCGCCCTTTGCCGTTACTATCATATGTCTGGAGATCTGATTAAAAAAAATACAAAAAGAAAAAGTACAAAACATAAAAGGCAGTAGAAAAAAAATGGAGGAGGATTACCGCTCCCAAGCGAAATTTACAGCAGCAAAGGGGGTAAAGAAATACAGAATGCTACGCTAACAATTTATTATAAGGATGTTCTCACTGAGTATCTACGGCTTTGGAGGAAATGCTGCCAGATCGGCCATTCCCCACGCATTTGGCCGAACAAAGCAAAAACAGGCATGTTTCTTTTTTTTCCAGACGCTACTTACAAGTAACACCAACCAGAAGAGGCCGTTCATGTACAACTTCATTGATTCCTGGGTGGGACAATTCAACATTCTAGTTTCGTAAGTACTAGCTTATAAATGGACAAACTTTGGTCAGTGGTGATATCCCGAAACTGAACTGATAGAAACGGCGCACCTATGCAGAGGACTCGATGGAATAAACGCCTATTCATGAGGCTTGCAGTCACTCTTCGACGTGGCAAATGATGCGAGACTCGTAACGTACAACAGCGGCCGGGAGAATCAGAGGTGTTTTTCTCTGGCCACCCTGGTATGCTGCCTGGAATGACCACACAGGAGCAGAGAAGAGTTCAGGGGAAGTTGCATTGGAATATATTAGATAGACAATCGAACAGGCTGTCCTCTGCTTGAGCAGAGGCGGAGCGTTCCATCAGGTACAGCGACAGGCCCGACCGACATACCCATGTGACTCATAAAGGCCCTATGAAAAACAAGCGAGTTCAAGTTACGGCGTGTGACTAACAAACTAATTATGGGAGTAGAGGTGTCCAACTATTTGAAACTAAGTAAAATGAGACTAATATGGAAAGGCAGAGGAAACAAAGAAATATTAAGTCACATAGCCCGATAACGGTCACTTCAGTTCTATACAAATTAGGTATGCAGATAATAAAGCGAAAAATAGAGGAATGGTCAGAAGATTGCAAGTAATAAGTGAGCTCCGAAATGGATTCCTAAGAAGGCTGAAAAATAACTTATTTGTCATCACTTAATGTATAAAAATATATATTAAAAACCAAACTTCTTTATGGTTAGCTTATTTGGACGTCAATAGAGTGTACGATAATGTGAGCGAGAAAAAATACTGGGGTCAGCTAAAGGAGTATAATTTAGATGCAAATTTGGTTAGGCTTCTTCAGCAGGAGTACACAGACTATAAGGTAGTTATAACATTGAAAGGAGAAACTACACAACCAGCAGCAATAAAAAGAGGGCTCAGCAAGGCTGTCCATTGTCACCTCTGCTCTTCATAATATATCTCAGTGAAATAGAAAATAAAGTAGTGCAAAGCAGCTTAGGTTTTGATGTGAATTATATGGACGAAGGGAGAAATGTAATAGAACTAATTCCAGGACTAATGTATCTAGACGACATAGTAGTCATACCAGATAACCGCGACACATCACAGGAACTACCCGGAATATGTGTAGAGGAAGGGGACTGTTTGGGCCTAAGTTTTAGTAGTGACAAGTCTCGAGTAATGGTCTACAACGACGAAAAGTGGAAGTGCCTGAATATACAAGACAGTAAAATAGACTTAGGTAAGAATGAAAACATATCTGGGTATATAGCTTAATGAGGAAAGGAGGAATATGGAGAAATTAGAATCAAAAAAGGGAAAAGAAATGCGTCCATAAGCTCAAGGCAGTCCGGACCTATAATAGAAATAAAGTGGTCAGGGGTATATGGAAATGAGTGATTATGCCGGGAATGTTTTTAGGCAATGGGGTAATGTGCATAAAATCAGCAGTTCAATCAGGATTAGAAATTCGACAGAGAAGCGATGGCAGATTGGCACTGGGACCACATGGAAGGACACGAAATAAAGGAGTATGGCGGAGCGGGACATGGAGTGGTCCTTTTTTGAGAGCAGAGAGGTAACTAGTAAGTTAAAATTTGAACAAAGTTTAACCGAATGGATGATACGCAGTAGAAACGGAAGATATTCGAGTATTTATATATGAAAAGTTTAAACACAAAAAAAAAAAACCGAACTCAAAAGCTTACATCGAAATACTTGCACACTGGTGATGGAGCTAAGCAGACTACTTTGGTGGAAAAGGGAGTGATAGATGCAGAAATAAAATGTGGTAGGGAAGAAGGCAGAAAAAGCAGCTTTAACAATGTAAAGGTTGCAAAAACAAAACATAAGAAAGGAAAATGTGGTTTACCATTGTTCTTTACTGTTCGAGGAGAAAACGGGAGTTTCCAGGACAAGGACGTAAGGGCTAAATTTCAGGAGACCGATACATTATGTACCGCACGTCATAATGGAAGCTGAGGGGGTAACGGATTCGGTCGGGGCCCCGGGTTTTGCTGCGAAGATAGAGGGACAGAAGAGAAAAGGATTCCAATTACAAAGAGGCGATCAGAAGATTGGTGGAAAGTATCTAAAAAAAACTGAATGGTGCAAACTAACAAGCACTGCTGAGGACATGCGGGACAGAGGAAAATTGAGACTCCCTCCCGCGTGGCTCCGTCCCAAAATCTCAACCCTGTCTCCCAGTGGGTCCCGCGTTGGGGTAACGCCCACTTGGTTTTGAGCAGAGGAAAATTGGAGACACCCTCGCTGGGGGCCGGAAGCAGGGAGTGATGTTTTTAGTTGTTTTGCCCGATCCCCCAAAGGTCATCCTGCTGATATCCCACATTGCTTGGTGACATTTAGGGGGAGAAAATTCGCTTAGAAGGGCGAGAGGATGTTTGTCTTCCTAGACTTAGGCAAGGTGGCGCAAGCTACCACCCGTTACGAAAGGCACAGCCATTAACATCTATCCATCGATCCATCCACGCGTCTCCGACTGGTGTGTTCACCGCGCCCTAAAAAGGGGTCCCTCGATTTCTGCCTGATGACGTCATCGAAGTTTCATGTTGTCGCCGGTCGCGATCCTGGCGGTTTCACAGCAGCAGTGGTGGATATAGCAGACGCTTGTTCTGCTGCAGGCCGCTTTCCAGACAGTCTATGAAAGAAGCTTTCATGGTCTGTCAAACTGTACAGCAGCCAGAATTCGAGACTTCAAGCAGACAGCGACACTCGCGCTCACTCGTTCCTCTTGCCGGGACTTCTAGCACCAACCGCCAGGATCGCGACGTCCGATAGCATGACACGCCGGCTCCTGCGACGACATTTGTTGCCACTTCGTGACCACTTTCAATGTGTGAGCGGGATAGGACGCGAAACACGCAAGTGAGAGACGCGTTCCAGGCATCTTAAAGCAGTGGCATTGAGGTTGGCGGGGTTATCCAACCTGGATCATTGAAGATCCTTAGCGGCCTTAAGTAGGAGGAAAATATCACAACATAAATTATTCAAAATTAAATTATTGCAAGCTCGGATTCTAGGTCAAAGCTTCATCATTCTGTCAGCGAATATAGTCAGCTCTTTGAATAGGCTAGACTAAACGAGTTTTGAAATGAAAACAGACAGGCAAGCTGGATTATCGTGTTATCTCGCGCTTTGTATTGCCCCTGACCTCTGAATTTACAGGACTGACGAGGTGTGGCGCTTCAAGAGGAAGCTGATGACTCCTGCCTTTCATTTTCGCGTGCTAAAGAACTACATGCGCATCTTCAACGAGCATGGCGATGGTCTGCTTAAGAACATCTGCGCAGCGATCGACAAAGCGCCCGAAGATCCTGTCCGGCTCTTCGAGACCACCCAGAAATGCGCCATGGACATCATCGGAGGTGGGCGTAAAGTTATAAGGAATATTCACTGGGCGCCATATTTGTGGGTGCTGTCTAGAGCGCATGCTCAGATTGAGCCCACATTAATAGGCTGCTAAGGCCGGCAATCTTGAAGGTCCGGAATGCACGTTACAAAAGAACTGTGGAAGCTCGACATCAGCACGCGCTCAGCAGTCGCGCACACAGCTATGGCCGCCAGTGAATACTTTCTATAATGTCCGAGCCCAACCCACTAGAGCGACGAACAGAAACAACCGACATAAACAAGCGTGAAATAGGTGCAGCGTGAACACGAAGATGCTGTAAGGATCAGAGCGTATGTTTTCCTTAATTGGTATTGTTTTGTCTTCCACCGCTTGCTAGCATTGCCGAGAGGGTCACTTCTTCGAGGGGAGGGGGTGCTGGCGGTGCGCGAGAGCGAGCAAATGGCCCCTCCGCGAGCGCGCGCGGCGCCGCCGCGCGGAAGGAATGTGTCCCCTTGGGGGACGTAGGCGGACCCCCGGAGGAGCGGGGTCTGGGGGGTTGGAGCGGGAGAGGTCCCGGAGTCGGTCGCGGACGTGTGTCGTCCGCAGGTCCTTTGTTCTTTGTTAATATATGGATAGTTAAAAAGCATCAAATCGTCGTCGCTGCCACTGCCTCGCCATCGAAGTCACCAGCCGCGACCGGGGAGAGGATCTTCGACAGCTGACGTCTCTCCCCACCACAACAAGAACTTTCCTGATGCCTTTGGTAGGCTCGCTGTCTCTCGGTGCACGTGAAATAAGCACGAACGATTGAAAGCCTGCCAAAGGTGCCTTCGCGTGCACCGTGCTCGTGCTTGAGTCTTGTCTGCGTCGGTTGTTTCTGTTTGCCGTTCTAGATGGCATTACAGAGGAAGCGAGGTTAAAGACTGCGAATAGACTGATCTCACTGAGCGTTTCACGCATGCGTGGCGCCGCCATAACTGTACTTCATAGGAAACAGGCGCCGGTTCACGAGACAGCTCGTGCTGTTTCGTGCACCGCTCGTGCAGAAAGTCTACAGTTCTTCTCACGTTGCATGGGGGCAGCGGGGGCGTAATGAAACTGGCTGTGAGATCGGTCTATTAGTTATTTTAATCAGAAAGCAGAAGTTATGACAGTCTTTATTTTATCAATAAAACTAATGAGTGTGCCTTTTTTTTCACATCTTTGTTTTTTGTGACTCAAATGAGCATCGACGATTTCTTGATAGTTTATTCTGATTTCACTGCCGCTTATCTACGAAATTGTGGTTTGCTTTCTTTTCAGAGGTCACGACGGGAGAAAAACTAGGGCTGCAGGAAAACAAAAACTTGAGCTTTATGGAGTCTTTTAACCGGTATGACTTTTATATACAGAGCGTGACACAATTAACGCGAACAAGCAATCCCGGGTATATTTTTTATAGTATATTCAAAAAGTCAAAATCAAAACTTTTCGTCTTTTTATGAAGTGCTCATTTGGTGCGTTAACTTGATCAGAAAAATGTTTTACTCGAAAATATAGTCTCGAATCACACTGCGAAAAAACGCCGATGCCGCGTGTCCCGCTGCGTCGCGCATTGTGCAATGGTGTGCTGTCGTACTTCAAGAGTAAAACAACAACAACAAATTCGCTATATTCACTGCCAAAGCGCAAAATTGTTTATCATCTATATTTCTCGTAAACAAAATATAACAAGTGCTACTTTAATTGCAACACAAAAACAAGCAAAAATTAATTGATTAATAATGGGTATAAAAGAACTTATATATTAAAGATATGATAAGATAAAACGCTGCTTAATATTAAAAGCTGCACCGCAACTTTCATGATATGCTTCGCTGCGTTATATTTGTAATGCCACCGTATTTCTCCCACCTTTTTTTCTGAGGCATATCAGCATTCCAGCACGTGTCTTAGCCAGCTTTTAACAGAGTCTCTTAATTCTTCATAATTGTAGATGCTAGTGCATATTCAATAGAACAAAATGTATGAACAGGAAACGAAACCAGGAGCTATGCTTGTGCCTAATAACCGTTCAAGTCCACTGGGAACCCCTACATCAATGCTTTTTTTAATTGTCTTTAATTCAAAGCACAGATGTTTGTGATAAAACATTGGCCGCCTCCTTTATTTTCATTTTCTTTTTCTTTTTTAACTTGGCGGTGTTCGACGGCTGTGAGTGAGGGCGCTAAAATGACAAGGTTGGGGACGATTGAAAAAATGGCGACGACTCGTTCGAATTGTCTTAGAGAAAGAAATTAACGGAATCCCCTAATAACAGAAAACGCATCAGTTTGCCATTTACGCCATTTATTGGGGCAGAAATTTAAAAACTGGATTTAACCATTTTTTTTTTCCTTTCGCAAATACGCTGTTCTCAAGCTCGACATTTTTAGAGTGATGCCTAGGGATCATTTCCCTTCGTTTGCAAGAACACAAAATTATTTTGATATCGGTGTTGTCAGTGGCCTTTCGAGTACCCAGTGAATACATTGAAAACGAACTATATGTGTGCTATAACTATAGGACTGGTTCAGTATTCCGCTGTTTATTTTTCAGCGCAATGTTCCTCCTTTCCACGCGATCCTTCAGTCCGTGGTTCTGGAATCAAACGATTTACGACAATTCAAGCGATGGAAAACACTACAACGGTGACATTCGAGAAATGATGGAATTCACACACTCGGTGAGCAAATTTGATTCGGATTTATTTTATAGTTCGATAAGCGGAGACTATTTTTTTTTTTTGTATCAGAAAACTTGTATCACATTACGTGTATCACATTTCACGTGTGTATGCATTGAGCATCCAATCAGGTTACTGCTTATCCCACCCTTTGTCCGGGTGAAATAACAAATAATTATTGTGTTTTACGTAGCTAAGCTATACTTATTTTACCTTCTCAAGATAATTCATATGCGCAGACAGGTAATTGTTTCGACCTAACTAGATGAGTAAACTGCCGAAAAAGGCACTCGGGTGGAGCGGCCGGCACAGAGCGCGTCGCCACAGTTCACTTAGCTGCGCAAGTGACGACGGCGAGGGGGAGAGCATTCCCTCCCTCTTCGCGATCACATGGGATTTTGGGTTCGAACATCGTCGCTTTTCGCCAGCTACCGTTATAAACAATGCAAGGTAGGGACATCCCCCCTCCACAGTGCCATGACACCCCACCTTTTTTTTTTTTTTGTATTTCTTTATTGTGAACAATACCTTGGATCAAATCCGGGGTCCCTGATTGACCTTCTTTCGAGCACATCACAAACGTACGCACTTGATCGACCAGACACACACGGCGGCGGCTTCTTTTCAGACTCCACACGTTCCCCCGGTATACGCTGTAGTGAGAGAAGAGAGGGGGAGGGTGGGGGGGGGGGGGTGGCGCTTGAGTAAGCAGTTGCGAGTGGGCGCGTTAAGTCCGTGCTCCGGAGCGCGAGAGTTTGGTGCTCCTTTCACTAAACGGACAGGAGTGCCACCGGAGACTGATACTCGAGCGCGCTCTTCGTTCATCAAGAATTTTTCGGGGCGCGAGTGACTTCTTCGCGCTCCGTGATGTCACGTAAACAAACAAGATGGCTGCGCTGCTGTTTGTTAGACGAAAGGCGTAGCCGGACCGCTGCCCCTTTTCAGTTGATTAGTGCTTAATCCAGCAGGTAAAAACGATTTGATGTGAAAACCAAGACAGCAATTAGCGTTCTGAAAAATGTTTGTTCGTGGATCTCGCCTGAAAAAGAAATTCATTTATCAAACGGTAGCGTGACGATAGCACAGCGACAGAAAAGTGGTCGAGATGACACATTCGGACCGCTCTGTGCCATTTATAATGCTTAGCCTAGCGAATAAAGATACTTCAATTTGAAAGCCAAAACATCAGTGAGCGTTGAGGAAAAGGTTGGTTCGTGCGTCTTGCCTGAAAACGAATTGATCTATCGAACGAGAGTGCCGACAGCTCGGCGACCGAAAAGTTGTGATGAAAAAACCGTCAGACCGCTGCCCTGCTTGGAATGCTTAGCCCAGCCGCAGCGATGAAAGATACCTAGATTGAAAAGCCGAAACACCAGTTAGCGTTGCGGGGATAGTTTGTTCATGCATACCGCCTAAAAACGAATTGTCGTGCTATCGAACGACGGTGTCCCGGAATCGGCGTAGCTTCCGTCTCGCTGCGACACGGAACCGACGGAGCCAGGGAATCTCTGGCAAATTTGGGGGTTTCCGGCGTCGACAAGCGGGTTCAAGCAAGAATGTTGTCTTTGATTTAAATGGGAACAGCATCCATGGTCAATCAATAGATCGGCCAAGGTATCCTTCCACATATGTGCAGGAAGCGAGTCTCCAAACCTTTCAGGAATATTCAAACGTTCGTAGAAACTTCATAACGTCGCCGTCTCTTTTGCTTTACACTCTGCCGCTCCACACGGACCTAATTATTCGAAATATTTTCGGCTTCTGCCACCCGTATCCACGGTTGAAAGGAGCTCGTGTGGGCCGTGGCCCGTCGATGTGTCTGGCCGTGTTCCAAAACTTACTCGATGTAACTCTAGGGTAAAGGTGGTTATCGAAAACCTACCCGCGTCCAGCGTTTGTCTATTTTTGTTGTCACGTGACATAATCCGCCACGGTAACTCGGATCCATTCGAGTAGGTTGGGAACGCAGCCTCGGTGGGTCGCGCTCCTGTACGCTATGCGTCGTTTAGTTGCTGCGCTCGGAGTATGAAACTCGGAGCGTCGGAGTAGGAGTGAAGGAGGCCGCGCGCCCAGAGTTTCACCCGTACATGGATAACGCCTCGGAGATTTGTCTGCTTACGTCCCTATAGAAACCGACCAATCTTCGACTTCGCGTGTGCTTCTACGCGCAATAATTGTGCACGGGCCAACGCGTTTAGCGCGCACACGGTGTTGTTTTCGCTGCCAAGCTGCTCTTTCCCGGCAATATCGCTAGCCATTGTGTCGCCACCGTCCTCGGTGGTCGTCATGGTACGTCCCGTCAACTCTGCTCGGTTTACTGTCATGAGCCGTCTTTTCTCGAACAAAAAGCCGCGAAAGTTGACGTTCGTCTGCTGCTTCCGACAGGGTGGGACGTTCAAACGGGCGAGTCAGGGCCCTGGAGTTACGCCATGGTCCAATTGCGCGTCCCGGTCCCCCCGGCCGTCCCAAGTACCTACTTACCTCTTATGAACTTCCGACGCAACTACACACGCCGCCTCTCCGTTACCCCGATGGTGTTGTTGACGATGGCGGAAGATGAGCTCGATAGTCGGCTACTCCGCGTACGGCTCCGCCATGTCGAAAAGTTGAACCTTCGCCTCGGATCGGAAGCGAAAATTTGGGGCTCAAACAGCTCCTTCCAAAATTTGTGAAACGTCACTTTGACGTCACCGATACTCCCACGAACAACAAGCCTGAAAGCCCGCCTGAAGACAATCTCGACAGCATTGACTCTAACGCGGTGCAGGAATGTAAGGACACAGGACGGCAGCGTTATCAGCGCAGTCGTTCAATCAGCGGGTCCCACGTGTTGGGCGCGCGAGTTCCGGCGAACCTCGTTACGACTTTGTGTTCCACAAATCTCGTTGGGTACCCAGCAACGAGAAAGTTCCAATGACTGAAATTACTTCCCGCGTGAGATCATCGTCTCAAGGGTTCAATCACCACGCACCGCACAATCCCGCGCCAAAAAAAAAGAAAAAAATGTGTTTGAGGAGTTTGATGATTAGTTGAAGTCTAAGTTTTGGTTTGCTTGTTTCCCGATGGAGGTTTGGACACCGGTAAGTTTTACTTTTAAAGATGCGTTCGGTGTATCTGCAGCCAATAGGAAATTGAGCCAGTGCAGTAGAACTTCTAACCTGAGTTTTCTGACGTACTATCGGCAAGGAATGGAACGCGAACGCCGGAAGGCGTGGCCTCCCGTTACAGAACGCGCCTCCTGGAGTGGCCCTGGGAACTAGCAAAAATACGACGGGGAGGGAAGATATTGATCCTACTGAGATGTGCTCGACCCTCGCTCGGTGCGTCTGATGCTTCCGCCTTTCGCCGGCGGTGCTCTAGATGCTTTGTCACTGAGTAGCGACAACGCACTGACGCTCGCTCGGCGCCTGCGGCTTGGCTGCGGCTTCTAGCGCACCACCGCCGAAAGGCAGAAGCATCACATGCGCCGAGTGACGGTTGAGCTCATCTCAGTAGAATCAGCTAGTATCCTCGCTCCCCGGCGTATTTTCGCTACTTCGCAGGACCCCTCGAAGACGTGGAGTTTGTATAGTAGGTCGCGCGTTTCGACGTTCCACTTTCATTATTTTCCGATAGTACATCTCAAAGAAGTGATAACACAGTACTGAAAACACAGTAGGGATTACACAGTTGTAATTACAGGTACAGAGATCAATACCATAAAGGTCCGGGTTCCGTAGCGCTACCTCTGTTGGCAGTAGTACGTAATACATTAATGGTCTGTGCTATCAAGGTACCTTTACAATCCTAGCTTAACAATAATCGAGCATTTAAAGGTGATTTATACCATATTCTTTTCGTTGTTTTTCAGATCATGCAACAAAACTCAAAATTATCAGACGAGAGAATAATTTCAAAATGTTTACCACACCACAATGAGCTCGATTTCTCTGTGAAGAACAACACGCTGATGGATCTACTAATGAAGAAACATCGCGAGGATAAGAGATACACTCTGAGTGACGTCAGAATGGACATCGACAGCATTATCGGCGCGGTGAGTTCCCCGCAAAATTTGCATCGATTCAGAAAGGTTAACCTTCAAGATCGATACTTACTGAGACACCAAACATTTTAGGCTAATTGGTCTGGATTTTACGCGAGGAGCGTTACGCTCGAGTGTGACGAAAAAGCATTACGCGCAGCCAACGTTACTAAAACACTCAGTTGGGAAACTCCCATAGAGACAGCTTTGAAAAAGTGGCCCCAATCTGTCTCCCAGCACCGAGCTAATGACTAACACAACGCCACCATTTCAACCGCAGCGGCCACTCAAAGAACTGCACGTGACTTGTATTTTGGCTTTAATACAGATACAGCGGTAGAGGTTACAGGGGTGCCACCCCCGTCTCCCCGGCGGACGCGCCGCGATCTACTACAGAAGTTAAAATGCACCTAGGGCGGGACGCGCTACCTGAAAGGCCCGCTGAGGCATGGTTGTATGAAAACAATACTAATTGTTCCGCAAAACGTTGCGAACTGAAGATGATAAAAACATCTCACGCCCGTCATTTGGTACTAAACGCCAATAAATTTTATACGAAAAGAGTCTTTTCCGTTTGTTTTTACGCAAAAACAGACTTTCAAAAAGCTCGAGGTTACCATAGCACAGACAAACGAAAAAGAGTGGCGCTGTTGTCGCATTTAGCTCGGTCTCGGTGGACGCCAGCGGCCCAGGTTTCGACGGCGAGTTTCCCAAATGAGTGTTTTAGTAACGTTGCGCACAGCCCAAGGCAACATCAACCATACTCAGCCCCCATGACAGGCGTATATATATATATATATATATATATATATATATATATATATATATATATATATATATATATACTTAGTAATACGTAATTGGGCCTAATTATTCATAACGATTGCCAGATTAACCGAGCGACTCAGCGGGAATCCAACCACGGACGTGCGATATCCGGAGTCCGACACCTTTGCTCGTCGCCAGGAGAAGTTTTTTTGGTCTCCGTGCGCTAGCATCGGGCTCGTTGTGAGAAACTGCATGATGCACTGGCGACTATGTTGACGCGAGCTATGCGGTGCTATGTGAATTCACTAGTTACGACTTTGAGGGGGGCAGGCTTTGTATTCTAGGTGGTATTGCTACGGCGCCTCAACGTCCCTGAAAGGAAACGGAATCTGTCTCGAAATGTTGAAACCGCCAAAGTTAGGACTTGGTTGGAAGTCTGTATTTAGCATACATATTAAGGGTCCATTTTAGAGCGTTTCAGTAATCTTTAGCGTCGTCAACTGGCTACCTGTCTTCCTTCTTTTTTTTTCTTTTTTTTTAGGGAAACGATTCGACAACGACTGCCATGTGCTGGACGTTGAATCTTCTTGGCCATAATACTGACGCTCAGGCCAAGGTTCACGAGGAGCTTGACGAAATATTTGGCAGCAATAATGACGGCGAGATTAGTGCGGACGACCTCAGAAGAATGAAGTATCTGGAATGCTGTTTGAAGGTACGAATTTGCCATGGGACACGCTGCATGAGCTACGTTATTACATGATCTGTTTACTCGATCTGGTTCAGGAGGCCCTGAGACTGTATCCCTCCTTCTGCGTAATTGGAAGATTACTCGACGAGGATCTAATAATGGGTGAGTATAAACTGACATTTTTGTAAGAAGTAACAATTCAACTGACATCTACCTTGGTCATAATTTTTTACCCGCTAATATTTGTTGTAGCTTGAGAAGCGTACGGCTGCAACGTTTAGAGTCGGTGGACACAATGGAGCCGTTAGATTTCTTCTTCGTAAACTATAATCAATTATTCTTGAGACAGTGGTAAGAAAAAAGAAACTCCAAACAGTTGAAGAGACTGAAAAAAGGGCAAGGTGTATTTTCTTCTGTCTCTTCAACTCTTTGATGTTTCCCTTTTCTTACCACAGTCTCAGGATAATTCATCACGGTTAACCTTCACCAGCTCGCCTGCACGCTTACTATTATTTCTTCGTACTGAGCTGTCTCTTGTGCACAACACCAGGTAAAAAATGATTGCCTTTATGCGAAAACAAAAAAACACCATTTCTTGGAACGGTTACGACACGACTTTGTCAGCTTCTCATTATAAAGATCAACTTAACAAATAACATATTTAATCTAAACAGCGAGCCTTTGTTTGTTTGTTTCTTTCTTTCTTTCTTTCTTTCTTTCTTCTTTACTTCCTTTCTTTCTTTCTTTCTTTCTTTCTTTCTTTCTTTCTTTCTTTCTTTGCAAATCCGCTTATTTTATGGTGTGAGCTAATTGCTCGTAAAAATATTCATAGGAGACGCATCTTATCTTTGGGGTATTGACCGGCATGCTTTAAGATGCTGGTGAACACGCCAAAGACAAGATGCTGGTCTCCTATAGATATCTTTACGAGCTAGAAATTCACACCCAGAAGGCACGTCATTCAGTTTTCAGACGCACAAAAAAAAAAAACAAAGGCAGATACACACGCAGTCAATCACGCACGAGAGTGGGATCCCAACCCTGTTCAGTGCACTCATTCGCAAGTGACCGTATAATGATAAACAATAATAATGTCGTGTGCATGTTTAGACAGCCGCAAGTTAGTCAGCCTCAATGGGCGTCTGGTGTCCCAGCAGTAGATGAGAAATTTAGCCAGGGCAGTACAACCACTAGCCTGAGGTCTTTAACGTGCACCACGCAGTAGTGATGCAAGACCGCACGTCGGTACGATGCTCATCCAGATCGAAGAGGGCAGGGGTGGGTTTCGAAGCCGGGATTCCTGGCTTCGGCATCGCAATTACGAAGGTCACAAGTATGTTGTTTTGCTCTCGTCAGTCTGTCATGTAAAGCCTAATATATTTAAGTTCAGGAAATGTGTCTCCAAATATAAAACATCGTTACAGGCGATAATTATTAAACATAGTCGCAAAAACAGCCTCCGCTAACGCTGTTTGAAGTGGTGTCAGTGCACCAAACACCGTTCAAAAGGTGTGTATGCCTCGCTTCAACAAATCCCACTTTTCCGCACTATTTTACGCCCTTTAAAAATGAAGAGTGTTCCATGCAGCAGCACTTTACTTCGCCGTTAAGAAGGATGTATTGCTCAAAATAAGGATGCTGGGAGGGCGCAGCCATGAACGTAAGTTTCTGAAACTCCCTTTTCACAACATTAAGGGTGTAAAATTTCTTCGTGTGTATCCACAAAATGATGGATGACGTTTCGTCAATAAGCTCCTTTAGGGCTGTCTCCTAGCGAAACGCCGTTCGACACGCTCAAGCTTCCTGGTTGTCTCGTTTTGAGTTATTCTCTGCCAGCTTTGACTGATTTTATGTTTTCGTTTCTTTAAGATTAAGCTCAATAAAATGCAAGCAGCTTGAGGAGACGGCTCGAGTGTCTGTTGACACCAGAGCGATAGCGCGCTGGTAGAAGGTTAACAAAGTCACAGCATACGCTGATTACTCCTTCTCTGTTTCTTTTTTTTTTTTCAGACGGTCACAGGGTACCAAAAGGCGTAACGTGCTTCGTTAACATATACAGCCTTCACCGCAATCCAAAATATTTCAAAGATCCTGAGCAGTTTCTCCCCGAAAGGTTCCTTTCTGACGAGAACAAAAGCCGGCACCGGTTCAGCTACATTCCCTTTTCTGGAGGCCCCAAAAACTGCATCGGTATGCTAACTTTTTTTTTCCTGAAAAAACATTTACATTTAAGATCTAGTTATTCCCAATGTTTCACTCAACCAGATATCGTTGCCCTCGTCTGTTGTCCCTTGGCTGAGAAGAGGTTATCGCATTCTGAGCCGCAGAAATTTCTCTCCGTTTATGGTTCCCAAAATATAACCTTAAAAATGTTAACCACTTAAAAACTTCTGCTAATCATTGCCTGATTTTTATTTTGTTTTTAGCGTATTTTTTCTATTTATATTAATATATGGCTAAACTTAGTTCGACATATTATATATCTATAACCCTTATGGTGTTTCAGCTTCGAATGAGCCTTTGAAGATCGGTATAACCCTCCAACCCCCTGCCCCCCTTCCTTTTTCCTTCCCTCACCAGCCACAGACGCACACATATCCAGATACTTTTTTGTGTGTCTTTCCTCGTACTTCCGTCATTTACAAAACCAAGTCCCCTTTAAATTCTTACAATAGTAAAACAACCCCTTGTTTTGTTTTCAGGGCAGAAATTTGCCATGATAGAGATGAAACTAATATTGGCGAAGGTGCTTCGGAAGTGCGAAGTCAAATCCAAGATTCCGCTTGATCGACTCAAAGTTGCCTACGAAGTCATCATTAAGGACAAAGGCGGTAACAAAATCTGGATTCGAAGAAGAACAGCATTCTGCTCGACTCTGCAATGACAATAATTAATCGGCGAAACGACTGAATCATGCAACTCACCCGCATGGGTGAGATAGGATATCTTATTTAAATAAAAACTTCAATTACCATCTACGGGAGTTGTGTCTTTCTACCTTCGCGACCTCTTTCGAGCAACCTTGGGGTATTTCACGCAAGGTTTGTTTTAACTACTCTACAAATTTCGCATACAAGTGTCATGCGTGCCCAAAATTGAAGCTCGTGAGCTTTTTGCAGAAGAGACACCGATGGACACGATTGGACACCATTTATAATATCACCACGGAACGCGATGTGTAGACGGTATGTTATGTGACGTCAAATTTAAATTCAAATTCAGCTTTTTTTTCCCCTTGAGAGAGGGAGCACAAAAGAAAAAGGAACTCAGGTGTTTGCTTGTCAAGCCTCTGCCTTCCCCAAAGCAGCGGTTAGGTTATCTAGCCAGAAACCTGGTGTAGCCAAATGACGGGGCACGTGGTCATTTGGCGACACCAGGTTTCTAGCTAGATACTCAAATAGGGCTCCTAAAGAGATGCGTGAGGCTTTCGAAATCCAGGCAAAAGGCAAAAAATGCATAAGTGATACGTCCCTGTCCTTATCGGTGAATGAGTATTCCTTCTTGTTGCGGGGGTTAAACAGAAGTTACGAGAAAGTATGTGTTAGTTCGAAGCTATATATATATATGATTGTTTTCACAAATAAAATCCAGTTGCGAGTGCGCTCTTGTCAGTCTACTTCCTCATTCTTGTGTGTGTATTTTTTCTTATTGCGCTTTTTAGGTGTATAATGTAATTCTTTCATTCATTCATTCATTTGTTTATCTGTGCGCCCATGAAGAGCTTTCGCATTTGTAATGATGCACAATTAACATACAGCAAAAGGGGAGAATATTTCTACAGATTGACAAGAGAAAACTTGAACGCTGCAAAAGATAGGTTAAAAACGTCAATACAGGAAGCATCGAAACTATTATAGAAGGTCTGAATGCGTGTTATGGGGCAAGTTTGGAAGAATTGATTGACATAAAATGAAAGAGGAATTCGTAACAACCTTCTCAGGACATGAATATTTATCGCTGAAGTTAAGTCAGGGAAATCAATGACTCCGTAAAGGCATTTGAACAAAAATATGAGATGTATGTCCCGTCGTCTGGAACTCAAGGTAGAACAGTTGTATCGTTCTAAAAGTATTCTATATTCAAAGTAAACAGTGCGACCGACATACCGGTCGTACATACCGGTCTTGTTTATGTTGTTGGGACTGCTGTTGTCTTCTTTGTTTTTTGCTGTACTCTTGTGTCGCCTAGCCACTTTTTTAGATTTTTATCTTAGCTGTATACTGTAACTCTTGCTTATGTTATTCTGACTGCTGTTGTCTTCTCTTTTTTTTTTTCTTTTGCATCTACTCATTTTTTTTTTTTTCTTGAGCATAGCAGAGTTAACAAAAAATTCAGATAGGATTTACAATTACGCCAACTCTAGTGAGTAAAAATCACTGGATAAACACGGGGTTCAATGCACACGAAGTCGAGTAATTGCAGGGGATGCCCGCACCGAGAAGAAAACCTCGCCAAGCCGCAGCTCGCGTTCACAAAAAGAACCGAAACCGTGTCATTAAATTTCTGCCCTTTCCTTCCGGAAAAAGACCCGCACGTATTGTCCGCGGACGATGGCTGTACGACTGGTCAATAGGCGTACCGAGGGTCACCTCCTACCTTTCGAAGCAACCGTCAATTGAGGATCGGGGTGAAGGACGCCAAACAAGCAAAAAATGCGTCACCATTGTTCGAACTCGCGCGTCATTTTCGCTGGTACATTCGGTGGCCTCGCTTATGAGGTTTACCACATTGTACGGGTCGTCCAGGTGCAATCATCCCGGCAAGTAGTCTGGGAAACTGCGTCCCTAGTCCGACTCAGTCGTTTTCGGTGGAACGATCATTCGAAAGGCCGCCCGTCACTATAGGCCATAATACCAGGTACACAGTACACGGACGACCAACTAAAGCGAAGGCGGCATATCTATCTGAATTGAAAGATTTAATCGACGCTAGTGCATTCTTTAAAAAAAATTACAACAATATCGGAGGAAACATCTTTTCTTTTTCTTTTTATCATGCACTCATCAAGTTGAACTTGGGAGACCATACTGGAGTTAAAACCTTTAGTTTTCTTTTTTTCACATTAACTGCGAACGCAGTTGACTGTACGAGCTGCGGAGCCAATAAAGTAGTGCCGAAAGCGCACCGTTACACCGTTCTCCGTCTTTCTTTCCGTGGTCATCCGCCAGCTCATCACATCAAGTCCCAACAGTGCACGGGGACTTTACGGCCCGCAACCGGCTGAGTCGTACTCCATTACTCTGATGAAGACGTTCCAAACAACAGCAATCTTTTAGTTTTTGTGTCCTCTTGTTTGTCTTCTAGGCCTTGGCTGCGCACGGATTCAAGATGAATAAATTAAGTAAACTTGTCCCTTTCAAACACGGTCCGAAAAAGCGCTCTTACATTGCGATGATCAAGCTATGGCGATCGCATCTTAGTGCGAACTATCTTTGAACGTAACTAACAGGCTAAAAATGTCCTTTAAAGTCAAATGAGAGCATACTATTTAATTAAAAACCTTCAATCCCTCTTGAAGTAATTTACATTTCCCTTAGTAATAGTAACTCTGTCCTGAAGGTCGGACGTTCAAAAACGACGTCCTGCCGTTCTCACAGTTTGCAACTTGTCAGGGGTGTTGACTGTGGCATAGCCTCCTATATGCTGACAAGGCCTGGCAAATTGCCACGAGAAGCGGCCACCGAAATGGAAAAGGTCGAGCTGATGAGAGGTGAGCCACGTGACTGGCGCCTCGCTGCGGCGTGACGCCGAAACACACTTGTACCGAGCGAACAAGTGTGTTTCGGGTCCTCGCCGCTGAAAAAGTTGTGCGCTCACGTCCAGGTTCCACGAGAAATGACTCGTTGATGCTCTGTGCTACCAGATCCTCGCGCTCCAAATCTGTGACAGGGCACTCCATGGCTCCGTCGTCGAATTGCCAAGCTTTGCGAGTATAGAGGAGGCCATGGCTGTGGTCAACGCCGATTTTGTCTATTGTTATCGACAGAGTGAGAACGGCATGGCGTCTCGTTCGAACGCCCGACCTCCAGCACACGCTCCGTGCCTTCCGCCGTGCTTCGGCTGCGCGTGCGCGCTCGAGGTGGACGAGACGCTGAAGCGTTATGGCGAAGGTAGGAAGCGCGCGCTGAAGGCAGGACTGCTGCAGCTCCTCGTTGTCGTTATCACTTTGTCGGTGACTATGGTAACGTTGGTAGACACCCCGACGTGCCGATGCATGCAAACATCCGTCTGAGCACACGAACTTGAACTGTGTATAGACCATTCCATTTAGCGCTCTCTGGCCGGCACCATTTTGTTCGACAGCAGCGCCCTCTCCATACATCCGGGAAATTCAGCGGGTTCGGCGGGGTAAAACGAGAGAGAGGGCACGCGCCCGACTCCGCTAGCAGACGACAAACCGGGAGGTTGTCATTCTCCATCTTTGGGCTGTATCGGCGGGCTGTACGGAACATCAAACTCTCGCTCGTGGCTGCCGTTGTGAAGTGGTTCGCGTTCTTAGAATAGTTATGGCCACTCCAAAATCAGCCTAGAGCTCTCTGTTGCTCTATTTCCGTAAATGATCAACTAGCATATCTTTCTTCCGTTACTTAAATAGCAGTTGAGTCAGCCGGCAGTACTACCCTCAACTACTGCGTGTATTGAGGCAGGAGAGCACGTTTTTATTTAATATTTCAGACTTCCACTCATGGTCGATAAAAGCCTACACCAGTACGAACTTTGTATGATAAAAAAAGGTACAGCAACCGGATTTATTTTCGCCAAGGAGACCGGCCAATCTGACACAGTTTTCCCTATTTTTGTTTTTTATTTGCACGCAGGTAACAACGCAATTGGACCCTGTTAGTCTTTTTATCTAGCATAGTATTACACGATAACTGGCATACCAAAATCTGCGCATCTGCGCTTGAAATTTCCAAAATGACGCGATTTTAAACAGAGTTTGTACGCCAGCGGGATGCTAGGTACAGCCCACTCGTCGGAGCAGACGAGATACAGTTGAGAGGGGGAGGGCATTTTTTTTCTCTTTTTACCCTCTCTGCTTTGACCCTAATGGAACGGTCTATTCGCGACTCCAGCGACCTATAGGGGGCGCCCCCACCAAACAAACATGGCGGCTGAGTCCAGGTCGCGGCGGCTCGGCCGGGCCGCCTGAACAGGTGGCGCGTTCAATTTAACAGATTTTCTTTTGTTTAATGCCCAATTTTATAGGTATTTGAACTGAGACGGTTAAGTGTAGCCGGTGCAGATAAACTTGCAAAGCATAGTTTTGTTTTGCCGATGTTTTTTTGTTCTTTTCGTGTCAAACTTTCGTTTCGGAGACTTCGTTCAAAACCGAAACTATGGGCTCCGGAGAGACGGTAATATACTAATCAGTTTTGATCATCTAAGGAAAGCGGCGATGACTATAGAATTGTTCCACAGAGAGTAACTTTTCAGCTAACTCGCACGCCTCGACCATGCGACTTATCTGTCCGCGAAATTGAGCTTTTGTGCGTATCCGCGTTTACGAAACAGCTCCAGTCGTCTGCTCGGCCAACAACACAGGCTGCAGGAAAATTACGAAAATTAAACAACCGCTTCTTAAGCCAAGGACCATGTTAACCCGCCGGCGCCCCACTAAGCAGCTGATACTCGTATTTAAATTCAGGTTTTAGTAGCAACCGAGAAGTCATTTTGACGAGCGGGTTATGTATTATATTACGTACTATTGGGGGGGGGGGGGGGGGGGGGTCCCACTAAAGCGATATTAGTACACCCTTCGGGTTCAAATATGAGCTTAGTTGACTAGCTATTAGGTGAGCTGCTGAATAAAAGTATATTTGACAGACGGAGACATACTACTTAAACTTAGCCAAATGGTTCTATAGCCGGCAGCACGGGGAC